TTTCCCTCTCTCTCTTTCTTTTTCTCTCTCGTGTCCCGAGAGAAAAATAAGATTAACCAGGAAGGGACGCAAACACGTTTCGCTCTTGTTTTCTGCCGCATTAATGTATGCGAGATAAGTGTAAAGCGCTCTGCATGGCGCAGCGGTTCCGATTTGCATAATTCTTAATAACTGCCCTCGCACGTTCGCGTGTGGCTTTTTCGGTTGAATGTCCGATACATTACGCTTCTCGAACATTACACACGCGATGTTGTACGAGATGCAACGAGTTGCCGCGATTGGAATATGTATACGCGCGTCGCAGTCATTAATTATTAATAGCGAGATTATAATTACATTGATAGAGAGAGAGAGAGAGAGAGAGAGAGAGAGAGAGAGAGAGAGAGATTGTATTCCAGCTACCAAATGAGCCGCGGAGAAACGTCGGATTATTCTGAATTAAATTGTTGCCGGACATTGATTGCGCTCGTCGAGCGCACACTCTCTAATGATCGCTTATCGCAACGGATAATGCGGAAATAATCATATTACGTGTTACATGCGACACAGCAAAAGAAAAGTATCGAGTCACGAACCTTTGTTCATGAATAATGCATAGTTGCATGCAACTTTTATTTTAAACGGTCGTCAGTTCTGTAAAGCACAAATTTCCGCCAATAATTTATCGTATTTGTAAAGAATCTGACTATATATATGTATTGTATATATAGATATTTCTTGACATAAAATCTCTATCTACATTCTTTCTATTTAAACTTTGTGAGATAATTAAATTGAAAAAAAACTTATATAGACGGTGCGTAAGTAACGTATAATACGTTAAACCGATAAGAAATTTCGAAATGTATATCTTTAAAATAAACATCTCAAAATATTTGAAGTCAGAGTGTCGTAATAATTTTATTCTCGCTAGTAGGATGCATCGAAATTTATCTCGTGATGAATATTTGGCAGTACATAGGCTTTCCAATACTTTGAATTTAGAACATAGGAAATCTATAATTGGACCTGAGAGACCGATACCTTTTTTTCGTGGCGATCGTGAAAATATAAAACTTCCGCAAGAGTACACATAAGAGATCGATACACGTTGAGCTCGTAGATAGATTGTAACCTTTTCGCTTTTTATTTGAGAAACATCCAAGTTTTGTTTCGTCGCGGCGGATAAAAATCCAAGAATGCGTTAAAAATTTTTGAGTACATCAATTTTTAATAAATGTGGATTCTTCATGATAATACTTTTATAATATAATGTCTTTTGATGATAACAACATATAAGATGCGTCGAGCAAAGTTCAACAAAACAAAAGAAATGGTTATTATAGTCTAACAATAAGTATAAAATGCGTGCATTTTCTTTGAACTTTCCGGTGATAATATAAGCTAGATAAATTTCATCAAAGGATATTATTACTGACGTGTTACTGACGTCTTATATTGCTTGTAGTAACTTATGTTACCAAAAAAAAAATGTAGTACATAAAACGCGAAACTATGTGCGAATATGGATTCAGAAACAAAATCTCTCCGATATCCTCCACGTTGTTCGCACATGATTGGATTAATTAAGTCGATAAACTTGGAATATAAAACTTTTCGCGCGTATATATAAACGAATTCTTCATTATATACATCCTTTAATTAGTGTAAGAGTAAATTTGGAACGTTCATATGTACATACGTGTAATTAAAATTTTTGTTTTACGATTAAAAAGTTATTGTTTCCGTTGAAATTTTTTCAAATGCAGATTAACGGATAAATAAATCCTACAAATTTTTGTTCTCAAATTCATAAAAAAATATATAATTAATACAAATAAAATATAAATCATTAATCAATTACATACAAAAAGCGTAAAAAAAAGAAAACTTTAAATTCATCTTTTTAAATTTGTTAATCCGCGCTTTATATATTATTTTACCATATTATATATAAATTATGTTTTGTTATTAATGAAATTAATTGTAGTAATTTTATCTCATACTTGAGTAATTGATAATAATATGCAATTTATAATTCATTAACTTGTTAGCATTCATGCATTTATAGATACTAAAGCCGAGTTTGAGCGCGCGCATAATCTTAAACAGAGACGCAAGGGACATTAATATGTGAATACAGTGTCGTAAACTCGCGTAACGATAATGTAACCATGTTACATCTTGCGGCGAGCTCTAAAATGCTAATTATCCTTCGGGATAACAAAACTGTGTATCGCGAAAGCCTCAGAACTACATGAATACACCAGTGTTGTTGCGAATTAAGCTCACGTAGTTGCAAATTAAACCTTTGGCGAGAATAAAATAAAACGACTATTTAATTAGACAAAAAAAAAACAAGATCTAGTATAATGCAGCAAAAACAAAAGCTGAAAATAAAACTTTTGTAGAATTTTTATTTTTTATTCGCGATAGTTGAATCAAAGATTAAATGGATTTCGAGCATTGAAGTAATTTGATCTCAACTAGTAATCGTCGCTAAACATAACAATGGCCTCTATTCAAAGGTTCGTTTTACAAAATCGTGAGATTAAAGTGTTTTATTTTTGCGTTATTTTGTTTTATATTTTATTTTTTACACACCAATTAAGGAGCACGGGAAAAGGACTATTGTTTTATAAACTTTAATACAGGGTACTTTATCACGGAACCAATGTCTATTTTTTCATTTCTCGTAGGTCGGATTATCGCAATATAAGCGCCTTTCATACAAAATGATTACGTGTTGTTACTGCATGTACGTGTTATATCCTTTGTATTTATTCATGCATTATTACTCCATATGATACATTCGGAATGTTACCGCGTCCGCGTCTTCACTCACCGATCACGTAACTGTATCCATCCAAAGTTAATACACATTTGCGTGCATTCGGTGAGGATGGAACGCACGGCACTTGCCTCCGTGAGATCCGCTTGCTTAGGCTGCACGAAGCGCCAGCTGCACCCGGATCCGAGTGGCACTTCTGTACCGGATCCTTGCCTGGTCTAGACATTGTTGTCAATCCCGACTACCCGAGCCTCGTTTCCTCGATATGAGACTCCATTCTTTCGTATATAACTATTAGATACTTGATTAATTTTATATATACGTCTTGTATCTCTCATCTATTATCCTGCCGTAAATCGATGCACCTCTTTAAATTTCACAGCCGCGACAAGAGCCCGATTGACTCGCAATCTTCTTTTTCTTATCCAACATGATATCGGTATAATCCGCGCGTTGCAAAGTCTACATTTTAGTAATTTAGTTTTTATATTACGGAGCCGTCTCTCCCCACGATTTCAAGCTCTCTTCTCGATAAGCTATCAAAAGAAGAAGAATTTTACGATTCAAACAATGAGGTCGTTAATCTTTGCACGTTTGGTGCATTCGGAGATAATGTACTTTTATCATACGTCGAATCTATCGAGATGTACTTAAAGTGCGCATTATCGTCCATTTTTTCAAAAGCAAGTGATAATATACCAGTTTAATTTTCAACTGGTGCAAATAAAAGCTTTCATCTCTTCTTAAAGCGCATAAAGATTATATCACAGAATACATTTGCCTTCATCTGTCGTCGCTAGCCATGATACTACCGCGTAGTATACTGATATGTATTTAAAGATAACGCGCTTTATGCTTATTATCTCCTATAGTGTTTTTAATTCTCCACGAGAATAAAAATCTCCCAAGTTTGATCAATTTTAATTTTAATATCGTATTTGTATTTCATCGCATCTGTCGTACGGGATAGGAACAAACATAGAAACATTTATCACAATTCCGTCCAAGTTCCGATCGAAGAACGTGTCCCTTTTAATTATAGTGCTTCTCCGTCGCAATCGACAGCACGTAATTGCCATGATACGTATTCATGATACGTAGCGAAGTAAATCCTTTTTTCGCCCCTCCACCGCGTGTCCTTTCGAGAATAAAAATTTAAAAACTTCTTTTAGAGAAATTTTTCGGAAAAATCGCGCACTTTTAGCAGTAGAAAAATTTAGACGTTGTAGAATATTGGCGATAATTTCGCGAATCTACTCTCGGCAGATTCATTCCAACAAGCTCGTGTACAGCGAAAGCACGTATTACGGTTGTACGGTTCTCGTAACGCGCACGCATGTCCGATCGGCGAATTCTTGCCGTGACAGATGTTACGGAGGGAGAACGAAAATCAAGGCGATCGATTCACGTTACCATAACATTAGCCTCGCAGGTTGGTTACCCGTATAC